CTAGAAACGAAGCAACTATGTGCATTTATATAGGTGTTATAAGTTTCGCATGGTCATGATAGTATGCAAAGATAAAGTTTAATTTTGCTATATCACTTGACAAGCACATAATGATTTGACTTATCTAGAATGATATGGAAAGAAAAAGAATCTCAGTTATCATTCGAATAGTGTTTCTCATTCAGCTGTTAAAAGGATAAGTGATGGTAAAGATAAGAGGTGATCATGTGGACTTTTATTGTGTCATGTGTTGTATCAAGGTCGTAGCTTATCTCATACGAAATCCTTTCATAAGAACTGTTACGAAAGCTTTCATTGTTTTCAGACACAGTTGAAGCTGTATTAGTTAAATATAAAGCGGTAGAAAGAAAATTTAGTTGATGAGGGTCATATGGTAATAATTGTAAAGTGTCACAATGAGTTATATAGTTGCTAGAAAATAACCTTGTAAAGTGTCTTCCTGTCACGAAAGAAATTTTCATTATATATTTCATAAGGAAATCGAAATTTGATTCGCATTAAGTCTCTAGACAACATTGTTTAGGACAGTTTTAGAATAAATACGTCGCCTATTCCGTTGGCTCACTTTTTACTGGCTTCAGACAAATTCTTATTGAATGTAAAAGATGCAGCCAGAATGCTAATAGCGTATTTTTGCGTGACAAAAGAATTGGTATGATCATATTCGAACATCATTTGACGTGCATTATGTTAATGAAAAGAAAAATCATAACAAATTTCAAGCTTGTATATACAACGTGGAGAATATTTTATAATTTCTCCAATTAAATATGAAATAATTATTTAGAACTGTTTTGCTGTTTGTTAAGTTTTCCATTTAAAGAATAAGATGCAAAAGTAGCATCATTTTTTTGTAATTTACTAATTAGATGATTATATTTGGAATAGGATAAGTATAAAAAGTCAATAATTTATAATGTGTTTTATTGGTTATTTAGTTTTACAAGGGTTCGTAGTTACTATCATCGTTTCTTTTTTGCTAACGGGACTATGATTGTTTGAATAAGTGATAATACGAGCTATTTATGTTCTGTTATCTTACCAGGGTGTGTGCAATGTTATGAGAAGACAAGAATCAGCTTTCTCACACTAACGGTATACATTTCGTCATATAGAAGCTAAGAATCATTTCTTTCTTGATACACTTGATAATTGATTGAGAAACACTGTAACAAGTTCGAATCGATGATAAATGGACAAAATAAACAATCTTATTTGGTTTTAGTTAGATTTTACGTGAGCCTAAATTGAAAAACGTAATTTTTATTATACTTTCTCCATGAAGTTGTTGTTTAGTGTAATGTTACTTAACATGTATTTGAGTTGTGATAACAAGAAAGGTTAACTCTTCTTGTTGTCTATCATATTCTGTGTTATGAGGTTGGTATTAGCCATAAGTAATAAATTTAGTTCACTATGTAATTGTGCCCATCAATATATTCAGCAATGAACAACAAATTAGATTAGACCATTTAACTAAGGCCATGTTGGACTGAATAAAGTACGAATGTTTTTTTTACTACATAATACATAATAGAACTTATTTCTGTGCAACGAGGTATATTTTAGTTTCGAAAGTTGTATACAATCAAAACTTGATGGAAACGCTATCGGTGCTACTGATATTATTTGTTTTCTAACAAGAAAGAACTATTTTCGAAAAGGGAAAATTTCAAAAAAAATATCATAACAAATAAATACATTGTGTCATGATTTATGGAGACAAAACTTGTATGAGCTCAGGTTCTTGCATATTGTTGTATCAAGAGCGAGGACCACGTCTGACCACCCGTCAATAAGGAATTCAAGAGCTTTTATAAGCAAATCTTAAAAGTTTGTAGGTAGAAAGACTGAACCCTTTCATCCAGCCTGGTTATGTCAGTAGCGTCATCATCGCGAGATTGATTTGTCTCGCAGTAACACATGGCAAAAAGATAAAGTTTGTGTGAAAGGTCATGGATTTTAAGAAGTATATATTTCTAATAGAACGAAGTAGATGTAACTAACCCTAGGTTTATCGAGTTGGAAAAAGTATGCTCCTTAAGACATTTTTTAAGTACTTTCAAACTTCGTCGTCTGAACAGATCGTTGCTGATACAAAAAAACAATCAAGTTATAAAATATTTAAAAATTAGTCAAGAACATTCCTGTACATATGATGTGATATTTCAATGCAACAAGTCGACTTGTCCCCTGTTAGTAGAAGGTATAAGCTATAGAAGATGAAGACTGACAGTCTTTTGAATGAATCGACTTCCTCTAATGATTACTAATCTACATCTTCTATAGCTTATAACCTTAATCGTCATAGGACAAGTTGACTTGTTTCTTTGTGATATAAGCTCGATCGTGTAAAAGTATTTTTCAGTAACTTTTATGTACTTCACTATTTAACTTCAGTTTTTTGGTAAACTATAGACTGTTCAAATGATAAAAATTACAGTATTTGAAGAAAAAATTCTTACAAGCGACAAACTTCTCAGTATAAGATGGGCTCAACATCGATAGTTTCGTGAAAAACCACTGAATCTCATTATCCGAACCGATTCACTGATCTTTTTGTGATCTAAAAAAATTCTATTGGAGTAGAAAACAATTTATTTTATGGAAAACAGTTTTCAAATGAATTCGAGCTATTCGACTAATTGTGGTGCTGTCGTCAATGTCACGCAAATCATTATTACTTTAACGTAGAAGGTACAAAACAGAAGAACAATTTGTGTATTGAAGTAAGCAAAATATCACAGTTCAATCATATACTTAAAAAATAACAACAGAAAAACAACTAGGGAAATATGAAACCTACGTTTTAAACTTATGTTATAAAATGACACATGCGATTAAACCTTTCGTTGACACAATCTTCAATATAACATTGGCAAACTTAAAAATAAGTGGCATATTCAATGAATAGAAAACATATGTTTATATACTAATACGGTATTTGTCATTTTACTTATGTATATATATATATAATATTATTGACAAATCCACCAACATTTTGTCTTATATACGATTGGTTATTAAAAAAAGCATAATTAGCGAAAAATATATTGGATTTTGTAAAAGATTTTTCGCTTATAATTACTGATTATCTGATATCAATCGTTTCAAAATAGAGTTATTATCAAAATGAAGGGAAAGATACGCTATCAATTATTGATAGCTCATATAATTTTGCTGTTGATCTTACTCAATCTACAGATATTTTTCGAAGTCTTAAAGCAGATAGTGTACATTTTCACTAGGAATCAATGCTTGCAATAATAAAATAAAAGAAGATTGTAATCAAATCTCTTGGTTTTTGCTTAATATTGTCGATTGTCACAATGTCAAAAATACATACATCTCACGCATGTTGGCTAATATTAATCTTGATCATTTATTCATCGAACGGACAAACGGATTAAGTGTATTTTTATCATTATTATCTCAAACGTACAACTTAGCCATGATACTGATTGGTATGGCTGGGAGACAAACGTCAGTTGAATAGCATCATAATATTTTTCAAGAAAAATCATACGAACGTCAACTTCGTGACTCTTTTAGCCAAGAGCTTGCTTTTAACTCAGCTGAAATATGTTTACTCGTAGTCAATCGACTCACACTAAATAACTAACTTAATCTGAAGACAGTTTACAAAAGATTAAAGGTGAGCAGTTTTGAAAGTGTATCACTGTTATCTTCATAGATGAGATCATTTGTTAGTTTTCAATGCCTCAGCAGTTTTTATGCATCTGTATTTTAGACATAGGCTAAATTGAATTTAATATTTTCAATCTGCATTACATGATCGTCATTTAGAGATAAATTTCTAATAAGATATCGTAGACTCTAAAGTCTGACGAAACTTTAGTTTTGTTGAAATTTTGGCTTAGTACAATAAGGTCCATCAGATTATGAATATTAATGTCGTTTCAAAAATCTTTTTGACACAATTGTAATGTTAAAAGAAAGCTGAGAAACTTTAGCTGAAAAGAATGTCTAAAAAGGAGTATATTTCTTTAGAAAATGATTGATATATTGACATATTCTCACATACAAGGTTTGTTTTTTGTTTCTGACACGATTCTATTTTTTCCTTCCAATAAAATCAAATATGAACAAATTAATTCGAGTAGAAATGAGTCATACAGTAGAATTTAAAAGAAACATTTCCGTTAGAACTTTATTAATGTCTTCTGTTGAAAAAGATGAATATTAAGAACCTTGCTTTCAAAAATATGGTTTAAAAATTATCTATTATTTTCAAACCTTATTTATAGTTTAACCTTTACAGAGCTGTCTTTACCTCGAGCAATGATCTATTTGAAATA